CCACTCACCAAGGCTGACTTGGCTATGGCCACTGCTGAGTGCCCAGTCTGCCAGCACCAGAGACCAACACTGAGTCCCTGATGCAGCACCATTTGCTGGGGTGATCAGCCGGTTACCTGATGGCAGGTTGATTCCATTATGGAAAGGGCAGAGTTTTGTTCTTATTAGAGTAGGTACTTACTCTGGATATGGATTTGCCCTCTCTGCACCAGTGTGTCTGGTGCAGAACTACCAAAACTGCCATCCCTGGACCTACAGAATGCCTTATCTCTCATGATATCCACATGGCATTGCTTCAGAACAGGTACTCACTTCACTGGCAAAGGAGTGTGGCAGTAGGTGCATGCTCGTGGAGTTCACTGTTCTTACCATGTCCCCCACCATCCTGAAGCAGCTGTCAGGATAAAATGGTGGAATAGCCTTTGGAAGACTCTGTTACAGCACCAGCTCAATCACAGCACCAGCTAGATGGCAGTACCTTTCCAGGCTGGGGCAAGGTTCTCCAGGTCATGTATGCTCTGAATCAGGTCTGATATATGGTGCTGTTTTACTGGTCCAGGAATCAAGGGTGGAAATGGGAGTGGCACCACTCACTATTACCCCTGGTGACCCACTAGCAAAATGTTGTTTCCTGTCCCTACACCTTTATGCTCTACTGGCCTAGAGGTAGAAATGCTTCCACCAGGAGATACAACAGTGATTCCACTGAACTGAAATTAAGACCCAGCCATTTTGGGCTCCTCATGCCTGTGAGTCAGCAGGCTAAGAGGGGAATTAGTATTATCTGGAATGATTGATCCTGACTACCAAGGGGAAATTAGATCACTACTCTGCAACAGAGGTAATGAAGGGTATGTCTGGAATACAGGAGATCCCTTGGGGTGTCTCTTAGCATTGTCATGCCCTGTGATTAAGGTCAATGTAAACTACAACAACTCGATTCAGGCAGGACTACTAATGGCCCAGACCCTTCAGGAATGAAGGTTTGGGTCACTCCACCAGGTAAAGAACCACAGCCAATTGAGGTGCTTGCTGAAGACAAAGGAAATACAGAATGAGTAGTAGAAGAACATAGTTGTAAATACTAGTTATGACCATGACCAGTTACAGAAATGAGGATTATAATTGTCATCAGTATTTCCTCCTTATTTTGTTATGAGTGCATTTGTGTATTTATATACATATCTTAAGCAAATATCTTTGTTTTCTTTTCTCCCTTCTATAACATAAGAAATGTTGACTGTATACCAGTACCTTAAGTATTATTAATTTTATATCATAGTATTTAAGTTTTGGGATATCAGGATAAGAGCAAACATACTCAAAAATTTTACCTCTTCCAGGGAGGGGATTAGTGCATTTTCAGTTGTGTGCAGGATAGTTGTGTCATGTTTGGTGGAATTATGACCTTGTTATTGTCTTTATTTGGAGATTAAATATGGTTTAAGGAGATGCATATGGGTGCCACGTTGACAAGGAATAGACTTTGTGATGGTTAATTTTATGAGTCAGCTTGACTAGACTAAGGAATGCCCAGATAGCTGTAAAACATTATTTCTTTGTGTGTCTGTGATGATGTTTCTGGAAGAGATTAGCATTTGGATTGGTAGACTGATTAAAGAAGATTGCCCTTACCAAAGTGGGTGGGCACCATCCAATCTATATTCAGTCTCTAAGCTGGGAGATCCATATTCTCTTGCCTCCATCATCAACGCTCCTGGTTTTTTGGCCTTTGGACTTGGACCAGGACTTACACCATTCCACCTCCTTCCCCAACTCCCCCAGTTTTCAGGCCTTCGGAGTGGGACTGAATTATACCACCAGCTTTCCTGGCTCTCTAGCTTAAAGATGTGGCACTTCTTTGCCTCTGTAATTGCCTGAGCCAATTCCTATAATAAATCTCCCCCTCTCTCTCTCTCTCTCACACACACGCACACACACGCACACACATACTCACATACATCTCCTGTTGCTTCTGTTTCTCTGGAGAACCCTGACTAATACAGAGGGAGAGAAGATTAACACAGATGAAGTACATGTTCTCAGTTATGTGATGGTACCTGTCCACCCTCCCCCCCCCTGTTACATAAGAACTCAGAAGAGAGGGACACATAAATAAAGGTGGTCTTCTTGCCTTCATTATTAGCATATGTCGAGCATAATTTAATTTGTTCTTGATGATCTAGGGTAGTTCTGTAAATGAGCATAATTGGTCTATATGGAATAAAATGATAGCTTTGGGTTTGTAACGGTATGCGTGGTCCCCCATAAAATAGCAGAAGCTTATGTAGTTATTAGTGTGGGCCGGGCACTGAATGGATTGTGTTTATCATTTCCTGGTTCATGTTTATTGTTCACTGCTCAATGTTGTCATCCCTATAAAGCATTTATGATAATAGGAAGTCTAGGGACTGCCTAGTTTTAAGTACTGTCCCCAGCACTTACAACTAGGTGACATTGGAAAAGTTATGAATGCTTACCTTCCCTGAGGCTCATTTTTATCATTTGTAAGTGGCAATAACAATAGAATCTTCCTAAAATCGTGAGGATTAAATGAGGCAATGTACATAAACCACTTAGTACAATGGCTGGCACCTAAATCCTCTAAATATTATGCTTTATTATATTCTGTTCCTCTTTCTACTTTGTAAGTTAAAAGAATTGAAGTGCCCAGGAGAAACCAGACAACCAAACATGTTAAATTAATAGCCTTTAATTTTATATAGGGGCTTCAGTCTTTAAGTAGGTTGGGAGGGTTTGGGGAGAGATCATTAAAATTTTGTATGGAGTTAAAGACAAACAGGGTTCAGTGTGATAAATGCCAAATCAGTGGTGCAAAGTAATATAGGGGTTTACAGCAAAAAGTGAGCAGTTCTGTCTGTGGTAATCAAGAAAAGGTTCAGGAAAGAGCTAACTTTTACTGGACTTAAAGATGAAAGGGTTTCAACAAAAATGTTACATCAGCTAATCTCTTTGCCCGTTTGTGTTATGCGTTGTACCGAACTGTAAAGACAACTTTCTGATCATTCCTACATATCTGTGGACTCTACTTAGACCTACTGCATTAGCATCTTTGGAGAAAACCTAATGAGGAGCTGTAGGATCTCACCTCCCCATTTAGATGTGACCATGTGCCTTCAGTCTTAAAGAAGAGTAGAAAGTTAAATGACAGCCCTAAAAGTCAGTTTCTTAAATGCTAGCATTTGTTATTTAAAAATCAGTCACTACCACCTTGCTGTAACAGCCTCAGAGATTAAAGAGGCTGTAGAGACCTGCCAGTCCCATAAGGAATTGTTTCATGGCTTTTCTGGCCAATCTGGAGTCTTCTTAAATATCAGGAGATAATCAGTTTACAAGACAGGCCTAGCCCTATGTAAAAAGCCATCCTTACATTGAGTAGAACTTGGACTCTGTGTTACAGCTTCCATACTGTAGATCAATCTTTTCCTTGAAGTAATAGTTTATCTTCTTGTTCTTCTTCTGCAGGCTCAGTAGCCTTAATTTCCTTCACCTTTCTTCATGGGAAATATAAACCAATTAGGGATTTTGTTAGGCCAAGTCAGTTTTTCTAATGCCCCTTGTCTACATGCATATTTATCCCCTTAAAAGAATCCTAATAGATTAATTAGGCATAATTTCTCCAGTTAGAGAACATTATACCTTCCTTTCAATATATCTTTATTTAATATGATTCTACTACAATAATATCATGTGCTAAGATTCTATATAGTTTTAAATTTTTGATTTCTATAAGCTTAACCATCTATAGATAAAGGTTTGTAATTAGAGACTTGTATAGACTCTGTAAAACTTAACCAGATATACTGCCTTTTAAAAAAAACACTATAGCTTTATTTAAAAAAAAATAACAAATAATACCTTACATGCTCACTCCCTAATACTCTAGACATCTCTGTTCCTGTAGTTCGGGAGCAAAAATTTAGATGTGCAAATTCCCATTTCTATACTTCTAATAAAATCATAGAATTTCCCAATTGAGATAGTCTCGAGACTCTCCTCTCCTCCCTAGCAGCTTTAAAATAGCCATTGAGTAGTATTGAGTATTTCTTTCTTAGAAAAGGATATATATTTCCAAATATATTTTCTATGCATCAGTCAGAAAGAGATCAAATACATGTGCTTTTAGTCTTTACAATGACTTAGTAGAAACAGAATAAAGCACCAGTTTTTTTTTAATGACTACCTTATAGATCTGGGTCTGTTATTGACAGGAACTAGGAAAGAGGGAGGATTTCTCCTTGCCTAAAATACACAGGTTGAGGGCGGTCGTGAGAGAGTAACAGAATCTTCACAAGGGGGTATGTAAACAGCTAAACACAGTGTCTCTGTGTGAAGCCTTGAGCAAGGGCAGGAAGAGCAATATACATGTGCAGTATATAGTGACTGCCACGATACTTGGAAAAGGAAGTGGAAAAAATGAATAAAGCTTAGACTTTGAGAGGTATACTGGGGAAGAAAATAAGTAAGAGCAGCAAGAATAAATTAATATTGTTCATATGTTCCAAACAATTCTTATACCCTCTCTGAGTACAAACAATCCTACATCACATGATCCTTACATCATATAAATTGTAGGGTGGGTACTGCACAGTGATCAGGAATACAACACCTCGTGCTCTGGGCATGTTGCAGATGGTGATAATAGTGTCCTATGTTTCTGAGCTTATAGCAGCTTTAGAGGAGTGGTAAGAGATCACGTAGTCCAATTCTTCTGCTTTAGAAAAGAAGAGACTGAGACCCTCAGAGTGAAATGACCTACTACATGTCAGTGGCGTTAGAATTCACTCCCATGATTCCAGTGTTCTTCCTGTTCTTGAATTATCCAGTACATTCTCTCCTGCATATTATCTTGTGATGGTAAGGGCCGCAGAGAAGGTTAGGGGAAATTGCATCCTAAACCCCAAGTGTCTTAGAATCGGAAGAATAAGATAAACTAATAAACAGCTTCGCTGATCTTCTGCCTCTTACCTTTCTTTCAGACTCCGAACTTGCCTTGATGTACAATGACTCCTCTGTCTTAGAGAACCATCATTTAGCTGTGGGCTTTAAGTTGCTTCAGGAAGAAAACTGTGACATTTTCCAGAATTTGACCAAAAAGCAAAGACAATCGTTAAGGAAAATGGTCATTGACATTGTAAGTAGCTGATAATAGCAAAAACAAAAAAGAGAGAGAGAGAGAGAGAACTTTGATGCAAGTTTTTTTTGTTTTGTTTTGTTTTGTTTTTTTAAATGTAAGAATGAGATGAGTATCAGGTAAAAGGAACTGCATTTCAAAACCTGTTGCTGCCCTTTATGTTGTAGAAGCTGCCCCTGCTGCAGGTCGTGATGTTCCCTAGTGGGTTTTCCACTTCTGGCAGTTTGAGCTTAAATCATGACAGCTCACCCTCATCATTCAGTTTTTATTTTCTGAGCCCTTCCAGTCTGATGGCACACAGAGAAAGATGTCTAACAAAAGCAGAGGGTGTAAGCCACAGCTCAAATGGATTTTTTTTTCAGCTTTTTCCATCAGTAAACAGTTCCATTTAGACCATGCGTGACCTTACTCTTTTCTCTATTCGTATTATTCAGAGTGATGATGAGAAGCAGAAACATCTCTGGTTATCACAAGCTTACTCTGTTAAACTTTGTACATCTGAAGGCAAGAATTATCTGTCTTGGACAAGCAGAAAATTAACCAGAATATTCTGTTTCTGAAGCAGTCCATCATAGTCGAGTAACCACTTTCTAGTCCAAGAAATGGAAGAGAACTTCAGATCATGTGGTGATGTCTTATGCATAGAGATATCGTCCCATTTTTCACCATGAAAGTGGTTATCAGTGCCTAATGTTTCAGTATATTGCACACATTTATCTGGGCTTCCAAAAAACTTGACAGCAAAGAGGAAAAGATTCTGCTCCAAGAAGGAGTAAAGGATTTCCATATACTGTCATTAGATAGCATAGTGGTTTTCTGTTCCTTCTCATATTCTGCATAATATTTTCATGTGCAAATTCTGACATTTTCCTCTGGACTTTACTTAATCAAATACTCTTTGTCTTTCAAGGTACTTGCAACAGATATGTCAAAGCACATGAATCTACTGGCTGATTTGAAAACTATGGTGGAAACTAAGAAAGTGACAAGTTCTGGAGTTCTCCTTCTTGATAATTATTCTGATAGGATTCAGGTAAAGCATTATTTGAGTTAGCTTTGTGTGCCTCTGTGCATGTGCCCGTGTGTCTGTGTTCAGAAATAAATAAGTCTTATTTCTCCTTTCTCACACATTATATGTTTAGTAATTTTAGGCAGGATTTTCATACAAATTCTTATTCCTGAAAATTAACCAAGTAAAATCCTGTTGGTCTTTTCATTTGCATATATGTTAAAAAAAAAAAACTAACACCCCAAAAAGCCAGCCACTTAAGCAGCTCTGAATTTAATCAACCATGCACATAAACAGTTTCTCTTACAATATTTAGATGTGGTAGAAGTGGCATAATTTGGAACTATTAATACAAGTGTGAACGACACACAGACACATCATGGCTGAGTTGTTTAGAATAAATCTTACACTACATGTATTTTTAAGTGTCACAGTCATCCAATGTGAATTTCTAGTTTTAAAAAAAAAGGAGCAGGTGCTGAATAGAGTACATCATCTGTTTTAGGTCCTTCAGAATATGGTGCATTGTGCTGATCTGAGCAACCCCACGAAGCCTCTCCAGCTGTACCGCCAGTGGACGGACCGGATCATGGAGGAGTTCTTCCGCCAGGGAGACCGGGAGAGGGAGCGTGGCATGGAGATAAGTCCTATGTGTGACAAGCACAACGCATCCGTGGAAAAATCACAGGTAATGCACGAAGCATAGAGCTTTCAGAGAGAGCACAGATACAGCTTTAGCATTTGGTTACTTTGTATTCGCATCTCACAGTGTTTTATTGGGTTGTTAAAATTACTTTGTTTTTGACAAGCTAAATTTCACCTCATTGTTTATGATCCAAGAAATTTACATACCTATGACTTAGATTCATAGTCATATATATGTTCTCATGACATTATAGTCATTCATTATGACTATTTCATTTAATATATTCATGTACATAGAGTACATGGCATCATTTCAGTTATCTGGATTCACCTACAAATTGGCGATTCTAAAATAAGGTTCAGGCCCCAACCCTACCATGTAAAAACAACTGGAAAATTTTTTACATTGTAAACATGCTTTTGAACTAAGAGTTCTAGAAGCTAATTTTTACCAGCTAGTAATGATATGTTTATGTGATCTTTTATCTAAAATAGTGATTATTTTGCCAAACTAAGGTTAATAGTCTTCTGTTCAGTGTTCCATTGGTGGGCCATGATCTAGTTAACCTTTCTCATTGTTTCTTAGTCCTACATTCTCTACTCATACTGGATTTTTTTTCATAACTAGGTGGGCTTCATAGACTATATCGTTCATCCTCTCTGGGAGACATGGGCAGACCTCGTACATCCCGATGCCCAGGACATTTTGGACACTTTAGAAGACAATCGTGAATGGTACCAGAGCACAATCCCTCAGAGCCCCTCTCCTGCACCTGACGACCAAGAGGAGGGCCGGCAGGGTCAAACTGAGAAATTCCAGTTTGAACTAACTTTAGAGGAAGACGGCGAGTCGGACACGGAAAAGGACAGTGGGAGTCAAGTGGAAGAAGACACTAGCTGCAGCGACTCCAAGACTCTTTGTACTCAAGACTCAGAGTCTACTGAGATTCCCCTTGATGAACAGGTTGAAGAGGAGGCAGTGGGGGCAGAAGAGGAAAGCCAGCCCGAAGCTTGTGTAATAGATGATCACTCTCCTGACACGTAACAGTGCAAAGACTTTCATGCCTTTTTTTTTTTTTAGTAGAAAAATTGTTTCCAAAGTGCATGTCACATGCCACAACCACGGTCACACCTCACTGTCATCTGCCAGGACGTTTGTTGAACAAAACTGACCTTGACTACCCAGTCTGGCGCTCAGGAATATCGTAACCAGTTTTTTCACCTCCATGTCATCAGAGCAAGGTGGACATCTTCACAAACAGCATTTTAACAAGATTTCAGCTTGGTAGAGCTGTCAAAGCAGATAAAATCAATTCTAAAATGTTTTTGAGGGAGCGTGGCTCATCAGGCAGCCCAAAAATCGATTGGATTTGGGGTTTCTTTTCGTTTTACCTGTTTGCAATATTTTCAGAAGAAAGAAAGCATTTCACAAAGTGAACTTAATGGGTGAAGCAACAGATACATCAAGAACAGGACACCGCATGAATCTGTTACCAAAAGGAAGAGGAAGATGAGCCACAGAAATTGCATAATTTTCTAATTTCAAGTCTTCCTGATACATGACTGAATAGTGTGGTTCAGTGAGCTGCACTGACCTCTACCTTTTGTATGATATGTAAAACAGATTTTTTGTAGAGCTTACTTTTATTATTAAATGTACTGAGGTATTATATTTAAAAAACTATGTTCAGAACTTCATCTGCCACTGGTTATTTTTTTCTAAGGAGTAACTTGCAAGTTTTCAGTACAAATCTGTGCTACACTGGATAAATCTAATTTACGAATTTTACTTGCACCTTATAGTTCATAGCAATTAACTGATTTGTAGTGATTCATTGTTTTATATACCAATGACTTCCATATTTTCAACAGAAAAACAACTTTATGTTGCAGGAAACTCTTTTTGTAAGTCTTTGTTTACTTTGCTTTTTGTTTCACTCTTTCCAGATAAGTGGGGTTGCTTTCCACTAACATTTTTCTTCACAGTGTGCAAAGTGAATATTTGTTCTATAATACTTTGATGTGTGTTATGTCAAATGTGTCTTAAGCCTCATAGAAACTCAGTCATCAGTTGGTGTTGTCTGAAACAAGTGGGAGTTATATAAATATCCAGTAGCTAAAATAGGTCAGTCTTTTTTAGATATTTTCCTACTTAGTGTCTTCTGATAACTTTTTGCTGTGTCAGTAGACGTGCATTTCACAAGTGCATGTCTTTGTAATAATCCACACATTTCATGCTCATTTTTATTGTTTTTATAGCCAGTTACAGTAAGAAAAATGTTTTTCCCCTTGTGCTGCTTTATTATTTAGCGTGTGTTTGAACCTCTGTCCATGTTGGCTAGATGAGATCTTATCAAATATATCACCACCATTCAGATCAATGAAAAGAAGCAGGTAGTCAAGTTAGGCTTAGGTTAGCATTCATTTCTACCGTGAGGTTGTGTATCATGACTAGCTTTTACTCTTGGTTTACAGAAAAACGTTAATGGCTAACGAGGCAGTTTTTAAGAATATTAACAGTATATATTAACAAACAATAGTACAACTAATTCTCTTAGGTTTTGATGATTTCACCATGGGATTAAGAACTTTATCAGAAATATCTCTGATAATTGGTTTTAAGTGTAGCAACTACTCTTTCTTGATGGACAGCTATATAGCCTGTAGGAATTGCTTTGTCACTTATCCTTGATTCATAAACGTGTCTCGTGGAGGGGAACTACTTCTTTTAAACACACTGAAGGATAGAAGATGATGCCACTGGCACTGAGGATTGATAAAAAGACTCTGCCTAAATAAAAAATTAGAGATCGCTCTTGGCTGATTTTAGCACCAGGAACTGTATTGTAATTTTAGAGATTAATGCCAAGTTTTTACTACTCAGAGCAGTTGGCATCATGGGGCATTTAGTTCAGACTTTTTTTCTCATGTCAGTTCTTAGTAAAACGTTTACCTTCTCTGTGAAGAGTCTGGAGCCCAAATAATCATTTTTCACATTGGTATCCAAGAATTGAGATGGAGGCTAAAGGGGTATCTGACCAAGTAAAAACTAAAACAGTTAAGAAAAACTGCCACCCTGAAAAACATTTATATTGGGAACGTCTCAAGGAGCCTTCTGGGGACTAGTAACTAAATTATCAGCCAGGAAAATGACCCAAGCTGAAGACAGCCCCCATTTTAATCCCGTGAGATCCAACCAGTGCTTAGAACCTTTGATGGAAAAATCATGTCTTTATAGCTCTGATCTTTTACATAGGGCAATGTAGAAATCAACTAATTAATTATCAGGTTTGCAATCTCTTTCCCCTATAAAGATCAGGCAGTAATCTTCCAAATAAAGATCAATGTTTAACCAAGTGGTTTCATAAGAACATTTGGGAACTTGGTTCTCTTTTCATTGTGTTTGTCCCTGAGGGAGGTCTACAAGGAAAGGCAAAAAGAGTCTAGAGTTCATTCCTCTTTCCAGAACATCTTCATTCCCCACCCTCCATTTGGTATTTCCCCCACAGAGTGCCTAAAATCTTAATAATGAAAAAAATAATTAAAAAGCAGCAATATGTCACTAACAAATCCAGACCTGAAAGGGTTTATAACTGCACTAATAAAGAGAGGATTTTTTTTCTAGTTTGTTGGTTCTTAATGGTACCATGTTGTAAAGATACCCACAAATGGACAATCAAATTGTGGAAAAGGCTTAATATCTAAGAGACAGGGACTAATGCACTGTACAATCTGCTTACCCTTGCCCTTCTCTCTCTCTCTTTCTCCCTCCTCTGTCTTGCCAAAGTGTGCTTCAGAAATGTACACTGCTTTAAAAAGAACATCCTTTTACAAGTGGCTTTACATTTCCTAAAATGCCATAAGAAAATGCAATATCTGGGTACTGTATGGGGAAAAAAAATGTCCAAGTTTGCATAAAACCAGTGCATTTCAGCTTGCAAGTTACTTAACACAATAATGCTATTTTAATTTTGTTTTCTTTTATATCAGTTAAGAAATTCACAAGAAAATAATGTAGTTAGAACAAATTGCAGACAAGGAAAGGAAAAAACTTGAATGAAATGGATTTTACAGAAAGCTTTATGATAATTTTCGAATGCATTATTTATTTTTCGTGCCATGCATTTTTTTCTCACCAAATGACCTTACCTGTAATACAGTCTTGTTTGTCTGTTTACAACCATGTATTTATTGCAATGTACATAGTGTAATGTTAATTGTAAATTATCAGTTCTTATTAAAACATCATCCCACGATGGGATGGTGTTGATATATTTGGAAACTCTTGGTGAGAGAATGAATGGTGTGTATACATACTCCTTGTACATTTTTCTTTTCTCCTGTAATATAGTCTTGTCACCTTAGAGCTTGTTTATGGAAGATTCAAGAAAACTATAAAATACATAAAGATATATAAATTTAAAAACATAGCTGCAGGTCTTTGGTCCCAGGGCTGTGCCTTAACTTTAACCAATATTTTCTTCTGTTTTGCTGCATTTGAAAGGAAGGTAATGGTGGGGCTAGGGCTGGGCATTCTATATCCAGGCTTTCGGTGATTGGATTTCTGGCAATGGCTGGATTTACAAAACTACAGACAACTCTGGAAGATTCTGCGAACTTTTTGAGATATAAGCTCTTAAGTACGCCTTGCCATGGAGCAGCACTGCATGTATGATGCTTGTTTGCCATCTGTTTATCAGGAGCAACTTCAGCTACTCACATCGGGCTTTTTTATTTTTTAAACTCTCAAACTCTACTGGGGAAATATATTCTTGCCCAGTGATTATAAAAAGTCTTTTTAGAAAAAGGTCTTTGGGGCTTCTAGAGCCACAGATCACTTGTGTTGATCGTCTGTTCATCAGTTTCTGGACATGTTAAGTGAATATACTGTACAAAAAAGGTCATTTTTTTAACTCTAGAATTTTTCTTCCACTAAGATAAACCAAATTTTCATATTGGTTTATCTTAGTGGATAAAATACACACACACACACACACACATACAAACCCTGCTATTTAAACTGAAAGTTATATATGATGCCGATTCACATAACATAAAGGATTCACCATCATCTAGAATTTGTTTTTTCAAAACTTCTATCACTGTAGAATTTTTAAATTCAACCTTTGACAATGGCCAGCCCCTGAAAGCATGAAAAATTGCTAGTGGATAATGTGGAAACCTCCTCCCACTGCTGCCCAGCCCTTGGAACATATGACTTTTAGTGAAAGGAAAGATTCTTTTTCTAGGAAAAATGAGCCTCCTGTTATTTTATTTTATTTTTTTGACACAAACTGTAGATTTTAGCAGCCCTGGCCCAAAGGAATTTGATTACTTTTGTTTTAAACCATATAAAGGGGACACTATAATTATAAAATAACATCCTTACTGATTTTAGTTGTTTTTAATTTTCTTTCTTTGGATATGTTTTCAAGAGTGGTAATTTGTGTGTGAGCATTACAAATGATTCTTTTAGTGGTTTCTTAGCCTCTCTTACAGCCCATGGGGATAGTACTGTACATCAATACCTTCATATGAAATTTTTATATGCAATGAAAATAAAAGCATGGGTTGATTCTGCCTCTTTATGACTTGGTCTTTTACAAATGAAAGATTATTCATTTTAAATGAAGTTCAGTCAGCACACATTTCCAAGGTAATGAACATTGTTGAAAGGATAATGACATCGTAAGTTAGTTAGTATTGATATTCATACCCAAATGAAGCCAAATTATGTTGATTAATCTTGCTATATAAAGCATTTCCCAGATAACTTAGATTAACCATGGTGTTTTGTAAATAGGCTTGGGAAGGAGCCTTCCATGCTTAATTGAATATTTTGGCATATTGGAAGTTATTGTTTTGACATTCATTTGTTGGACACCAATCTGCAGACTACAAAGTTTTAAGGATTCAACATTAAGTCAGTGAGACACACAGTCTTTGCTTTCATGAAACTTATAGTCTGGAGGGGACAAAACCATTAACTATTCAATATACATGTCATTGTAATTGTGCTCAGTACAATTAAGCAAGTTGGTGCTGTGATTAATAGGGAACCTGAACTTGATCTATTTTGGAGGGCCAGAGAAGGCTTCCTTGAGCAGTGATTTGTGGCTGAGATCTGAAGGGCAGTAAGAAGTAAACATGGAAAAGGAGTTGATAGAAAGAGGAAGGGGGTCCAGACAGAGGAAACATTATTTGCAAAAATCCTGAGGTACAAATGGGTTTGAGATAACTGGAGAACTGAAGGAAAGCAAGGGGGAGGGTCAGCAGGGCTTGGAGCTGGGCGCCCTTCCCAACCATCCTATATGAAATAGCCTTCCTATTCCATAACTTATCCCCAAAACCCCACTTTATATTTTTTATAACAATTATT